GACAAGGGTGGGGGAGGCAATGCCCCGACGAGGGGGGAAGATTTCCTTAACGAGAGCAAAGTGTGCGTGATCGAGCGTCGCTCAAAATGTTCCGAAAGTCGTCGGGGGAGGGGGGGGGGGGGGCGAAGGCCCCGGCCCCGAAAATCTTTGACAATTAATGGGTTTCAAAGGCTTATTTAATCGATTTTAGAGTCTACTAATATGTACAAAATACATATAATTATTTTTTCTCAAAAACGAATTATGGGTTTTCTCTCCGACGGGGTGGGGGCGGAGGGGTGAGCAGCTATTCCCGGAGGGGGACCTGGCGGCACCCCTGTTTCTTATTATTGAAACTGCATTACGATGTTCGGAACTTTGTATACAACTTTACCATTATCCTAATTTGTAAGGATGTTGTATTTATCGCATACAGCTTAGTATTCTTATTCTCTAAATTTATCTTATAGTAGAGTCTTGTAAGTTGCTGAATTTTTAACATTGTTTAAACTCGCAACTGAATTTTGTGTGCTTTTGCATCAGCAAATAAGTTAATAACATGATCAAAGTTCAATCAATTTCCCCATTTCAGCTCCCCTCCCCCAAACATGGCGCCCGGGGCACGTGCCCTCCCTTGACACCCCTAGCTACGCCACTCTCTATGAAGGTGGAAATGTCTTCCCCCACTCGCTTGTCATTCATTTTAACTTCTTTCTTTTAATTACTGTATAAGCTTGTCCATTTATTTTATATTCTAGTGGATTTAGCTAATTCGATATTTAATTTCAGTTGTATTGACTCTTCCATACGCTATCATGCCTTATCTGATCTTTTTTATTCTATACCCAGGGATGAAATAAATACATTTTGTAACATTAACTATACGTTATTTGATAAAACATATTAGAAATACATTCACCATAGGTTGTAGGAACTTCTTTTCCATTGAAAAGGTGCCGTGTTATTGTCCTGTCAAAATCTGACACAACCTGAAAAAAGCATATGATTACATCATTTCATTCCATTTATTTCACCAATTCTAACATACAAAAAACAAAAAAGACACGACAATAATATTGTCGGTGGCAGGATAAACAAAGAGCAAACTTAATTGCTGTAACAGTTTTTCCTTCGAAAAGGGTATAACAGTAAGATTAAAACATTAAATATAACAATTTAGTATATATAAATATATTATAAAAATAGATATAAAAAAAAATCATGGAAAAATACAACAGGAGCATAGTCAAGATCACGTCAAAAAAAAAAAAAGGAAAAGAAAAAATTGCAACTAACTACCATCCGATCTCACGATTGCACATGGATTTTAAGCTTCTCGAGAAAACTAGATATGCTGATGTTAAGTTCATCTCTGAGGTCATCAGATAATGTTGACTATTTATATAAAAAATTATAAATATCAATTACATCATGTTTACCTGAAGCCGCCGATGGTCTTATTTAATATTAACTGTATGTATAAAGACCATGGACGCACTTTTTATTAACGTCAATAGGCTTATTTGAATGTATGCCTATAGGCATAAAGCTGCTGCAAAAAGTTGGACGAAACAAATTTAAAATAAACCTCATGTAGGCCCTAAGGTACGTTAGAGTGGGAACCCACGGAAGCCACGGTTCACCCTTTTAAAAGAGGGTTGACTATACTACCAAAACGTACCTGGAATTTTCTGTGACCACCTTTCATGAAAGCTGTAATGATTTCTTCCACTTTATCAGGATCTTTGATGTGAATATTTTCTTTTTGAAATTCTGGAATCTAATGAGAAAGGAAAACGGTTCACATGATCTACCATAGTTTTGTCTGGCAAGTGGACACTCTGACGAAATTCCAGTGAGTAGTTTGTATTATGAGTACCAGGGTACATCATTTTGGTTCAACAGCAATGCTTGTGCATTGTCCAAAAAAAATATTTGTATATGCTTAACAAAAGACATGTTTGTATTTTATCAATAATAGAGTTAGGTTTAAATTCAATTGCGCTACATCAGCACATTTTATGGCAAAAATGTAGGTTTATATGTCAACTAGGGAATCAGGTCAACTTGGCCCCAAGTCAACTCGGCCCCATGTCAACTCGGCCCCAATTTTACAATTTCACTATATATTTACAAAATAATTACCAAAAGAAATTTGAATGCAAAGTCAAACTATGCC